TTTTTTTTTGTTATGTCCAATTCTCAATGTTTTGATCTCTATCTTTTACAAAGCTATAATTGTCATTATCCTCTTTATCTGTAAATAATACACGGATTTGTCGTCTTATGCTAATTCAGTGATGGATTTAACTAAATTGGAAATTGATAACATAAGTTAATTTTAGGAAGATATGGTAGGTATTGGTGATCTTAGTCGAGGTTTCATCCAAGAAATATGCGAGAGAAATACTGGCGAAGAGAGACCAGTGGTTCAAATTCTGGTATGTTATTTCGCTTATTGGTCTTTTTTTTGTTGCCTGTTTTTACCTCTGTTTTCTTGTAATTTATTTGAAATAACACTATTTCTTCCCATGTGATTGTCAGGTAGTTATGGTAGAATTAAAAAAGAAAGAATTCTTTCTCAGGAAGCAAGACCATTGGTTAACAGTCAAGCGGAACCTGCTTCAGAAGCTCAGTACTTCCGATTTCGGATATCTGATGGAATGTTCAGCTATAATTGTATGTGTTTTTAGCTAATTAATTGTTGTTATCTTTATAGTGATCTTAAAGTGTAATTCGGTCCTTAATAAAATTATGTGACTAGTGATGACGTGTTCAATTTAGAAACAATAAGGAAAGTTATATTTCGATCTATCAGATTGCTCATGTCATTAATTCATTTTACTTGTGTTTATAGCCTGCCTAAATCAAGCAGATATAACGGAAAGAATCAAAAGAGATACTCTGGATCAAGGCAATCCCGTACTACGCATACAATACACGATGTGAGTGTTATTTCCCACATTTGATTTAAATTCAAATTTACTGATTGAAATCGCGAATAATTCATGCACATTATTTTCTTTTTTCTGAAAAGACGTTTTAGAGATTTTTTATTCCGGGCGTTACAGTTTTTTCTTTGGTTTAAGAAAGGCTGCTCAAAAGCCATTGTTGAGAATCATGGATTACGAAATTTTGGGACGCGATTTACCGATTTTCGGGAGTCCGGTACATCATTCTGGGAATCCTAATGACTATCGTGGATTAAATCCAAATGCCAGTATGCATACGCGTATTGAACTTCGATCGCCCCAGAAGGGTGGCTTAAATTTGGGACAGAATGCTCCCGGTAATGCTTTGTTTTTTGTTTTATTTTTACGAACATTTTTATCAAAGATCCTGCCATACTTTATAGTACAGGACTGCAATGTAAACTATTTAATATATTACAATTATTCATGACTTCCGGATTATCATTTCACGAATTTATCGTAAAAATTTTTGTATTATCAGGTGAGATAAGGCGTGGAACTGAGTTGTTAGTTTCAGTGTTATTTACCATTTCCTTTTATGTTCTGTAATTGTCACAAAGTTTTTGATTTTACTCTGATAATTGGCAATGTTTTTTCCGTTTACATTTTATTAAGTAAAAGTCTCACTGACAAACAAACAGGATGCAACAATGTACAAGGTTGATCTTGAAACAATAACTGAACGAATTCTGCTCTCATAAATGAATATTGCTTTTATAAGGGTGATCCAAAGCATTTCATGGAAAACAATTGGGATTTCTTTTGAGTAGAGCTACTATCTAATAATTCAAGAGTTATTTATCCATCCTGACGCAAAATGTGTTGCACATTTTCATTTGAAGTTCAGTTGAAATCAGCGAATGCGCATTCAATGCATTTCTCCTTCCTTACAATCATATTTCGATTACTAATCCTATTGATCCTCTTGACTTTTATTCTTCTTTTTGAGGTATAAAGAAATTATCGAAACTGAACCAATAGATATGAGAAGAGGTAACATCATGAGAAAAAGCAACTGATTTCACTGAATATATGACATTTTTTTCTCCTTTTTCAGTTCGTTATGGTGGCTCATCGTCGCGCCGTTTAGCCAATTTATCGGGACAGAACTTGACACCGATCAAACTAATTACTCCCTACGTTAATAAGTAAATATTCAAGTTAAAGCTTGGTTTATATTTATGTTTCGCTCAATTAAAATACATCTATTTGGCAAAAAAGTAAACTGAGTGCTTTCATTGTTTTCATTTGCTCATTGCATTAATGTTGTTACATGCACATTTGGGTTCTCATGTCCTATCTTACAGATGGCGAATTTGCGGTGTGGTGACTGCAAAGGAGGATCTACGAAATATCAGAACGGCTCGGAGAGATATGAAAGTGTTCAATTTTGAATTAACCGATGAAGAGGGCGGCTGCATACGCATTGCAGCATTTGACGATGTTGCTGAAAAATTTTATTCAATTATCCAGAAGGGATCGGTATGATTACTTACTTATTTGATTTAAACTACCATTCGCATTCATTGCATTATTTCTTTGGAACTTTGATGCTTCATTTTTTATGTACAAATGTTTGAATCGTTTGGAACCAACATTTGCTTCATGTTATTTTTTTGGATGGTCAGGAACTGGTTTATTTAAATTGGCTTACATATTTATTAAGATGTTCTATGTGTCCGGCGGTACTGTCAAACAGGCAAATAAACGTTTTAATACGACAGGACATGATTATGAAATCACAATAAGAAACGATTCTGAGGTATTCAGTTATTTATTTTATATTAATTGTTGGCAAGAAATTGTTATTTTTTTTATCCTGCTCTTCTGTTTCCCACTCAATAATACTCTGCTTTCGACTAATCGTTACCAAGGGTGTTTCAGGTATTGCCGTGTTTGGACCGTGAAAAAATTGAACAGCCGAAACTTTCACTTAGTATTGTTCGTCTTTGCAATGTTGCTAATCACGTAGGTGAACCGATCGATGTTATTGCAATAGCAGAAAAGGTCAATGATATCGTGGAAGTAGGTCTCATTGCTATACAAACTGTTTGGATTTCTTGTTGATAACGTGCATTATGTGTCTTCCAGAAATCTTTCAAGCATGTCTTTGTTTTGATTTGATAATTTATTTCTGTGTGATGACCATTTTTGCAGCTTTAACTCTACTGAGGAGAGATGAATGAATGATTATGGCTGTTGATGTTTAATTACTTTTCAGGTTACAGCACGAAATACAGGCGCCCAACTGGAGAAACGGGATATAATACTGATTGATGCATCGGAGACGGAAATTACATTAACATTCTGGGGCGAGCAAGCGCGAACATACGACAAAGAAATTGAGGGTCAAACGATTGGTATAAAAGGAGCATTTGTTAAAGAATATAACGGCAAGTAATTTACTGTTTTTATTGGAGATCTGGATCATTTTTCGGGATTTTAATGAAGTAATAATTGGTGAAGAAGAACTTGATGTATTTTTCATATCCTGATATTCTAGGGAGTTTAAGTCTCAGTATCGGAAATTCCAGTCGAATAGAGCTGAACATGGACTGTGCCGAAACAGCAAATTTATACAGATGGTACAGAGAAACAAGACCTTCGGTGCAGGCACGTAATCTAACAACAGCTGGTCTCAGTTCAGACAATTATGGTAATCTTTTTTCTTTTATACTCCAGGATATTTGTAGTAAATTTCATCCCGAATTTTTGCAATCATCCATTAAATTTTTTTAATCATACAGCGCGAGATTTTCGAATTATTCGTTTATCTGAAGTTGGTGCACTGGGACGAGATTCGGAGAAGGGCATATTTTTTAATGTCACAGCCATGATCTCATCATTAAAAGCTGATGGCGCTCTTTACAAGGTGAAGCTATTCTTTTTAAAATGAAAACTCATTACTTCCTAGAATCCCAGAATTCTACAGAAATTTCATCTCTTTCAAGGAATTGATATCAAATTTTATAATGTCTACATGGGAGGTTTCCTTATAATCTTCCAAAATCATTGTTGCATTCAGAGTTGTGGTACGAATGGATGCAAAAAGAAAGTAATTGAGCTCAACAATCAGTATCGATGTGAAAAATGCGATATTACTTTGGATAAGTACAAATATGTCCTCCTTATGACGGTAAATTCCCTGATTTTCATTTGTTTCATATTATCATCCGAAATCAGTAGGGAATGTTGTCCTTAATACAACACATTCTAGGTGGAAATATCAGACTTTTCGGGATCTCACTGGGTGACGGTATTTGAGGATAAAGCTGTCAAGCTTTTGAAAAATGATGCAGAGCAGCTTGGGCAATTACTCGATAATGATCTGGTTTAATTTGATACTTCTGATTTTTTCCTTTGCAAACTTCTAATTTGATTTCTTCATTCCTTTTCATTGAAAATTAGCAGTGATTATAACGGTTTTGATTGCTATCTCTGGGAATTTATGAAAGGTGATTGTACTGATGATTAATCACATTAGCGATGGTAATTTAAGGAAAATGATATGTTAGTAAGTAATTGATGACAGGAGAGACGGAGAAAAATTGGAAAGGGGAAAAAGTTCATTGAACGATCAAAATAGTGCTTTGATTTTGAATGTTAAGATTTTAAGTTATAATATTTTCAGCTTGATGAATATAATGAAGTGTTCAATGCAGTCCGCTTTCGTGAATATACATTCCGCATTCGGGCTAAATCGGAATTTTACAATGTAATTATTTAGATGTTTTTAATTTTCGACGAGCACAGAGTTGGACTTTAATGCCAATTTTTGCTTTAGTGCCATTCATTTTCTACTGGTAGCTGTTCTGTTGATTGTCATTCTTTGTTAATAGCAGAGAATAAAAGTTTTGAGTACTCTGTAACGGACACATGATGTCAAAAAATATGAAACCACACTTTGTTTTCAAACTGTAGAACACATGCTTTACTAATATATGTTACAGGGTGAAGAGAAAATCAAATGGAACGTTTTCGATATTCACGAGGTCAATCTGGATAAATATATTGATGAACTTACGAGAGCAATAACTAAATTGGAGGAAATGTAAATACTCTAATCCTTCGTTTCAGCGCTATCTACATGAGATCTCGTGTTTATGTGGCATAGATCTTCCACTACTTTATTTCAAAAATTGATATAAAACTTAAGGTTAAAACAGTGTTGAAAATGATGTTTATTTCAGCATATTATTAACATCAGTTCACCTTATTTTAGCCTTGATCTATGATTTTCTTTAAATGTTAATGTTAGTTGAGAAGTGATTGAACTGGAAAAGTTCTATTATTTAGAGGAATTTTCATCCTTAATTCCTGTAATATGAAATTATTCTGACAATGCTTTTGACCATGTGTAAAATCATTTAAATTTCGATATCGAAGTACCGATATCGTGCATTCATTTCTGCTGCTTTTTGAAATTTGTTTCTTCCTTACTCTCACATATTTTATTTTTACAGCATATTCATGTTATTTGTAGTTCTCATCTTTCGAAATTTGTTCTAATGTTGTTTGAAGCGAAATAAAGAACTGCAAAAATAACTCTTCAATTATGGGCAATCTGAGGGCGAATAATACAGAATCCATTAAATCGTTAACGTTGTTACAATTCTCAAATCTTTTAATCATAGTTTTGCAAATTTCATTGGAATTAATAATAAGAGATTCGAAGTTTTGTATCACACATAGAATGCTAGTTTAGAAATTTAGGTGAGAAATTTATCACGAAATCATAGATAGTTTGTCAAGAGACCACTCTTTCTTCTGCCGTCTTTTCCTTCTGATTTTGAGATAATTTCTGGACTTCCATCTTTCTGATCTCTTAATGCCCATATGAGTTAGGGTTGCTGACATAATTGTTTATATCAATGGTCAGGTAACAGTTTGCTGAGAAAATGAAGGATATAGTATAGGTGCTGGTTGAGTTGTTGGTATCAAATTAGCTGGATTATCGCGGAGTAGCATTCCTTGTTGTTGAGCTGTATAAGATAATGATAATTGTCTTTCATACTCTTTTCGAGCCTGTAAATTGCATTTTTAAGTATGAAATTTTATTTTTCCCTAAAATTTTACATTTATAAACAATTGGGAAAAAAAATGATTGGTTTCTTTTATCAATTAATCCTAGATTAAAATGAATGATTAAGGATTGTAGTGTGATGATAGTAGTTCGTATTCATTGGACAATTGTGTCATGTCCTGGTCAAAAGGTTAACTTGATTATTATTGTATGGATAACTTACGTAATCTAATTGTTGCGTATAAATCGCCAATTGAGCACGTAATGCTTCATTTTCCTTCTCCAGCTCATCAACTTTACGTTGCATCATCTTCTCTCTCTCTCGTCGATTACTTCTCGACTTTTTTGCCGCTAAGTTATTTTTGTCACGTCGTTCACGATATCTGTAATATTGTTATGTCTCTGCTAAATCTAATAAATTAGAATTTTTGCTAAATTTAGGAAAAAAAAATTCTTTTTTTGATTTAATTAATGTGTCAAAAATGGGAAAGCTTAACTTTACTAAAATGATGTGTTTGAAATCAGAAAATTTGAGAATTTTTAATCAAAAATTAATCAATTTTGACAAGTTCTTCAAAATAAAGGAAAAAAAAAGAAAATCTGGGCTTGATGTCTTTTCCAAATCCTGATATTATTCATCTGTTGTTGGTCTGCAAATAATCTGTTTTAATTCGGACAGTGCTGGTCAGCAAAGAGACCAACAAGCATCAATCAGATGATTCAAAGCAGTCACCAAACGAAGACATTTGAAGCCCAATAGTTACCCGTATAAGCCATCCTGGAAAAAGATTAAAAGCCAGCAGCAACAACTATGAAAACTAATCAAGTTGAAGAAGATGCAAAATTTAGAATTTGAAATTTTTGAAAATTTTCAAATTTCAATAGGAATAAAATTTGCTGTTTAAGTTGCTTTCATTTCGGTAACATTTTGAACTGTGAAGAAATTTTTCCAATTGGCAAAATGCACGAAGCATACAAGCAAATAAGTGTAAGTTTAAAGTTCTCGAATTCAGTCTAGTTTTGATTAATGTATGTATAATTTTTAAACTATGCAAAAACGAACAATATTATCAGAAAAGTGGAAATTATGCAAGACATAACGTTTAGCTGCAGGTATAGCTTGCTTGGCAGCAGTTCAGTAACTTGCATGTTCCTTTTCTGCATATCGTTTGTATCTGGATAAGAACCGGAAAAGTTGGTTTGCAAATTGCATTACTTTTTGCGAGCTTCTTCATCCACTGGAACGATCGATCTACGTTGTTGTAATCTTTGTTGTTGTTGTTGTTCTTGTTCTTGTTCTTGTTCTTGTTGTGATGTTGAAGTTGAAGCAGATGTGATAGAACATGATGTTGTAGGGATGGAAATGATTGTTGGAAAGTTTTCCTCCTGCTGTTTTGCGATATTAACAACAGTTGCGGCTTCATATGCTGGTGGCATTGGCATACTATAAGCTGTAAAATTGGCTGGTACCATATTGGTAGCAACTGGTGTCGGATATGAAAAATAAAGATGATTTCCACCATCACTTTTAACTTCACTCATATATGCTGGTATCATTGTTGTTACAATCATACACCCTGTAACTATGATTTAATGATTAGGATATACAAAAGATGAGTCATACTAATGTGACAATCTTTTAGAATATCGAAATATTTCAAATAAATATGAATACTTTACTATGCGACAATTTTGAGAAATTTATGTGACTTCTAGACGAGATGATATTTTACATGTAAAGTGTATCATAATGGATATATAAAAGTAGTGATTATTATTAAGTTAAAAAGATTTTCACTGTTTCAAAAATTGCTCATATCACTAACAAATAAAGTAATATCCAATAATTCATTTGTTATAAGTCTAGTAAGTTAAATATTTCATTTCATTCTTTTATATAAAATTGAAACAAATGCAATTTTAAGATTGGAATATATTATTCATGCTAAATTGTCAACAAAATCTACACTGATTAGGTCCATCTTATATTCGTTCAAATTTTATGCAAATAAAATTATCATTCACGATGAAAATTTAAGCCCTGTGATTCGTTTTTAATCTATAGTTTATTTTATCACCAAGCTTAACAAACTTATCATTTCCTACATTTCATTTATCAAATCTATCATTACTTTTAATAAATATCAGATGAAGTTATTTGACGATAATACATCTTCGATTATGCCAAAACATTAGTTCTGTCTTTTCATTTGTCGAAAATTTTTGTATAGTTGAGGGATTGAATTTATATGATGTAATTTTTTTTATAAAGGAATAAAAATTGAAAATGGAAATATGTTAAAATTCATCGGTGATTAATTTAAAAGATGATTTAAATTTGAAAATTTCATGAGAAACCTAGGATAATAAGGTAAGGCGAAATCTTGAACGGTGAGATTTGTTTATGAAATGTTTACTAAGCTAATTGATAATTCATTACATTGCTATGATTAATCATAGCAATGGTCAATAATATTGATTTGGATTAACTATTACTTGCTAATAAATGTGCAATATATGTTTAATACAAATAATTCATATATCACAATTATCTTGTAATTAAATCCTATAATAAATCATTTCTCATGCAAATTAAATAAATACATAAAATATGAACGAACGATTCTCGGCATTTCACATTTTTAAAAATGTAAAAAATAAAATATTGTTCAACATTTAAAATGATAGATAGGTAATTAAATATTTTAATTGCATAGCATTTATCATATCATTTAATCTTTTTTTAGACATTACACCACCAGTGATCGGTGAATAATACTCAAACTATTATCGAATATATCAGAAATCTTTTTGTAACTTCATATAAAGAGTAAATAGTGTCAGAAAGTTATTTGGAAACTTAGACAGACTTAATAGATTGTAGAGAGTTGAAAAAAAAATCAACTACTTCTAACTTTTAAACTTAAACAAATTTGAAGATGGAAGAAATACTAAAATCATATCAATTTATTCATATTTTAATCCAACTACAACATACTGCTAAAAGATTTGATAAAGTTTTGCCAATGATAAAAATATCAGAAAAATAATCTCTGAACTTTCTATCTGATCAATTATCAGTTTGGATTCTGTAAGTTTATTTACTTAGCTAATCAATTCATCAATTGTAATTTACTATAATCAAAAGAAGCAGAGATGATGAATAACATGTCTTCTAGTAAACATTGCTTCCATATATCTCTCTATATTCTTTGCAGATACATCTCTCCATTCTGGACATTATAATTTCTACCATATTCTTTGATGTTGATGACATCTACAATAACTACCTGATTGGTTGATCAATTCTGATGAAACATCAAATATTCTCTTGAGAAACTTCTAAAATCCTATTTTTGTTCATATCAATATCACATTTTAATTCAACTTTAACGGAGCGCAAATTGGACATAAAAATAAAGCTTATCAAATTTAAAGGATATCACAAATTATCCAAGTTGGTGACAATCGTTATTGATAACTTTTGCGATAATTTTTTGTACCTTAAATTCAGTCATAACAGAGTGGCAGATTCGGCAATAAAAAAAAAAAAAAAAACAAAAAAACTTGTCATTAATTTTAAAG